CGCCATTTCTCTGTATTGATAATTTTTGTATTAGATACCTATTTACTAAAGAAAAGTTGATTTAGTTGTGTAGGTATCTGTTTTATTTTTCATATTTATTTCGATCGTATTTTAATTGGAAAATAAGTTAGTTAATAACTAGAAATATATTTTGCCATGTGATTTTGTTTGATCTAGTAAAAGTAATAATAATTATCAAAAAGTAATTAACTTCGAACCGATGTCAGCAGGCGAAGTAAAACCATCGCAATAAAAAGGCTTAGGTATTATACATCAGAAAAAAGTCACAAGTAAATAATTTTACTGATTAATAAATTTCTACAAAGGCACTTATGTAACGGAATTGAAAAGTTTACTAAAAAACATTTATAATTTTTCATCAGTCGACATTAGGAAAACTAACTATTGTTTTTTTGTTTCAGGTGGCAATTCACATATTCACATGGAAATAGTTCATAAAATGTGGTAAGTGTATTTATTATTTTCAAATGAAATAAAAAATTAAAAATTGAAGAAAAACACTTGGTTTTGGAGAGTGACCCTCCGGAATTAATAAGTACCCTATAATAATCTAAAATCTAATAACAAAAATTAAAAAAAAAAAAACGAATATTGATAATTTCCAGCAGTTTTAATCAATATAGATTGCATTCTGTCAAATACAGACAAGTATTACCTGTTTTATACAATTATCCAAAAATCCGCAAAAACGATTACCCTATGCGATTGGTTGCGTTATAACTCTGAAAGGAACTTCAAATCAAAGTATTCTATTAAAAACTTCCTATAATCAGTAGATAAATTAAAACAACTAAAACAATAAAAATGTAATACTTGTCTTCTTTGATATTAAAACTTATTTCGTTCTATTTACGGGAAGAACTAACAAACTCCAGTAATCTAAATTCAAAACAAATGTCAAAACTATACGAATTAATTAAAGTTTGTACTTATACCTATAGACTTCCCATGGATATTTATGGTAAACATTAAATAGGTACATTTCTTTTTATCCAATAATCGATTTAACTGTAGAATTATAATTCTTGTTTACATTTTTTATATTTAACTATCATAAGAAACACTTGCAATATAACATTCGACATTTTTAGAAAATCTACCTTTACAAGTATTTCACCCCGTGGTTTCTTTAAACAAAAGCTTTTATCATTAAACATAGTGCTTTTGATTCTTCTATTCACAGAGTGATTGAATATTAAAGAACCCCCAATTTAATAAAGAAGTAGTCTTCCTAAAAGCATTAGCCATTAATGAAATCGAAAGCAACAATTTAAAGTCGATGCTCGTTAATTATAAACAAAAACAAATATTTTAGAAAAGCAGGCGTTTATAAATTATCATGCAGCAGTTGTAACCCTTTTTTTTTTAGATAATATTAAATTACTAGATATACAATTTCAAAAAAACGCTTAAACACCCTAAAAATTTTAGAAATCAGCGAAGCTTCCATGGGCTGTCTCTCTAATATTAAAAGTCATTACGTATCTCTTTTAAATAATATCAGTATTTAGATAATAAAAAGCAAAACCAACTGCTTTTCTTCAATTTTTGATTTGTTATTTTTCAATATATTTCAGCATTTTCACTAAATAAATATTGTTTTATATATACTTGGAGTGCAAATCTTGCGTCGTGCGCCACATGACATCACTTTGTGATAAACGGAGCGAGTTTCGGCATTATTGGCCCTTTCTCTAACTGTACTTAAAGGTTAAAATATTTACAGCAAATTAAAAAAGCACGTAACAGAATAATAATGCCTTAAATTTTAACTCTATCGACTAATCTTCCGCGTTGTCTTTCGCTAGATAGTAATTTTCATAAACTTTTCTTGTTAAATACCTACACCTACCCGACTAATTTATAAGCGACGTGCCGCATGTAGTGTGAGGCCCTTATGTGGCTAATAAGGGGCATGCCGATATAGGGATTTCCCCGTAGATTCCTCACGAAAATCCACCAAAAAAGTGGTGATACTAAAATGGGAATTGTCTTGTGGGTTTTTCTGGGTAAACCTAACACATGTATAAACTTACAATTAAATCTACCTTATGGGGGCTCGATGAAGCAAATCCGTTTGAAAATACTCTGGGTAAAATGAAAAATCTTATAAAAAATGCGAACAATCCCTTTGACCAATTATACCATGTCAACAAATGTACTTTCTGATACTATCAGACGCATCAGGTCTAACAATAGCAAAACGACTGCAATTTAAAGTATTCACTACAAAAGAGCCCAAAAACATAATCTTACTTAAAACAAACTTTTACAAATAAGTGTGATATGTATATGTTCCTCCAAATGGAGATATAAATTGTGTTGAAATTTGTGGAAAACCACTACGAAAAAGAAAATTTAGAAATGTACCTATACTTTCTGCAAACAATAAAAGTATTACTACCTAACAATGGTTTATCTTAAAGATAGTGACGAAAGTAAAGAAATAGTATGTGTTATTCTGTTGCTACATATGTAAAAGTGAACAGTTTCTCATTGGTAAAATATATTTCTCATTCAATTTTGTATTTTTTTCATTAATAATAAAGTTCATTTTTCCAAAAATTTTTAATGGGGTAGCAATAATTTTTCCCCGCGGGGGCCACGTGTGGTATTACTCATGATGCGCAAACGCGACAAGGCGTTATATGCCCCTTCCTTGTCCTGTGGGGCAATCCCATGGGGCCCACAAGGGGTAGTGGGCTATCCACTTAGGGACCCTACTTGCACCCCCGTCAAAATTATAGTCGGGTAAATGCATTTTTTTCTTTATATCACTTAAAAGTATGTTTTGCGAATCTTGTACGAGTTTGGTCAAAAATTATTTTTTCTATTTTTAGAGCACATCCAGGATTTCAAAAGTACGCATTATTTAATTCTTTAGATTTTTTTAAAAAGTTGATTTCACTAAACCATCTTTACGCTGTGTGTAGGAAAAGTCACTATTCAGTCCATATCGCAACAGATTTAGAAGGAGCAACAATTGAATTTAATTTTTATTTTAGTTTAATCTGTACTTTTGGCGTGGCAAATTTAACAATTTTTCCAATAGACAGTATCATATTGAACAAAATATTCTGATCATATTCATGCTGTTTTTGTATTGAATGTGTACTATTGATAATATTTTTGAATCCATTGCTCACTAATCGATTTGTCTTTTGGAAAAGAAAAACACTGACATTCCGCATTAAAATCACTAATATTACAACACCTTACCACCACACAAAACACCATTTTAAACAATTCAATTTAAAATAATATTAACTAAACCTTATAAACGTCACAATCATATTTCCCAGTTGTCACGTACTAACGTCACCGGCTAGAAAAGGACAGATCGTTACCCTGCGCTTCAGCATATTTTATAAATACAAATCCTCTTTCATACATTTGGTCCACGAAATGAAACTCGCATAGTTTCCTCCTTTGATGCTATCAAAAACAAAAGGAACATAATATTCAAAGTTACTTCATACATTCCACGTATTCCTGTGCACACTGCTGTATACAATTTGCCGGACAGGAGAGGTTTACTGTCGTATAATAACTTGAAAATTTTCAAGCAAATTTGCATTGGAATTGTGAACAGTGTCTGTTTCGTCAACTTTCATGACAAGTTCATATTTATGGAAATTTTTCTTTGGGTAAATACGACTTTTAGTTCTTTTATTTTATTACCGTATATTTTCGTCTAATGTCGAAAGCTTTAGGGTGTTTTCGTTAAAACTCAAAATTCCTGCATTAGAAAAGTGTACCTACCTACATTTTCGACGTTACGTCCTCAATCGCACGAGCCACCTTCAGGGCTCTGTTTTTAATATATTTTTAGTGATTTTTGATCCCGAAGAATATTTTCAGCACCTCTCGATTAGGATTCTGTTTAGAACCACAACATAAAGGTTTATAGAAGTTTACAGCTTATTATCTCTCATTTCGAGGTAAAACCCCTAATATAAAGTGTAAACATATCTGTAGGTACAAGTCAGATTCACGATGAGTATAGGTTACATTTTCAAGTCAGGTAAAAACAAATAGTTTTCACATTGTTTTCTCCGTTTTATTTTATCTCAGTAGATTTTATGATGAAGTTTTCCCTCGTCCTATTATTATGGAAACTAAAGTCAGTCCATTGAAACTTTATCTACTGCTGTTTCTCTATAGTAGTTGTAGCTGATTTTTCAGTATGTGAAAAATCTACTGATTTGGTTCATTTAGTAAGATTTTACTGTTTCAGTCATGTAATTGAGACTGTGAGAACCATTGATGAAGTGTTTTAGTTTAAGAGAATATTAATCAAGGGATACGTAGTAGGTTTTCATCAATTTATTTAAATAAACTATGAAACCATTCAATTTTGTATGTACAGAACTCTATGAGAAGTTTTGATCTTTTCCTTTAAACCCTTATCAATCATTTTTCTACAAGATGGAATACGTTATTAATCGCCTGAAACATTGTGTACCTACAAGTATAAACTTTGAGTACCTAAAGGAAGCAAAATAAACGCAAATTAACAAGTTTCGTTAATGAGTAAAATTCTGAATTAACTTGATCGCAATTGATGAAAAGTTATTAACGGTATTGTAACCTACTATTTAGAGAACGTCCTAATGTTACAGTAATTAAATTATGTGCTTCTAAATTATGTCATATGCTTCACCCTGTTGAAATTATTTTTGAAAATATTAGAGCTTGGTTATAGCTATTGCATCTATTTCATTTATCATTTTAATTTTTGGTTCCCATTTCCCCTTATTTTCGGTTTATTTTAACTTTAATGGTAACCAATTTGTTTATAACTTCTCTATTTATTAATATTCCTGAAACGTTCAATCCGTCTGAAATCCTCGAGTTTATCTTTTTATATTGGCAACGGTCCGATTGAGAAAATCTCACATTTTATTCCCTATTGAGAGCTCGTTCGTTTTATGTAAACTTGTATATAGTGTAAAGTATGTTGAATGCTATTTACCTACCTCTTGAATATCTAAGCCGTGGTTGAGAGACCACATGGTCTGAAAATAGTCTTGCATTCTTTGCTTCAGTTCCTTCGGGATTTGATGAAGCGTTAGAAAGTCTTTCAGATCTCTCCATTTGGTGTGGTACAGCGATCTTCTCGAGTACATCCTTTGTATGATAGCTGTAACGTTACCGAACACGACGGCATGCATTAGCGCTGAAATGAAACAAACAGCGTATTCTTTTCAACCATTTAACAAGTTTGTTCGAGACGCGATGCCATCGACACGGATTTACATTTCAGCTAGACGCTTAGTGATCATTTTGATCGGTTTTTACGAAATAACGAGAGATTTGAGTTTGAAAACTCGTTACATTTCTAACTTGCGATTTGTACACATTATGTACAGGGTATCCTATTTTCAGAATTATTATTAAAGATAGAGAGTTGCGGGTTTCACGACAGTGTGCGCCAGCAGAAAATCCCTTTCGGTTTTTAAAATAGAAGGTGGAAGTATCACCTTTCACGCATCCCCCTCCCCGTATCAACGTTATGCTAGAATCTAGTAATGTAGTCAGATCATTTCTAGCACCTTCCGTTTTCAGTTATTATTATTTTCAATAACAAGCTCAGAATTTATGATTATTTAAAATTTTCATTTTTGTCCAATTAGTGTTAGGTAGTATGCTATGGTTAAAATTTATTAAAAACAAAATCTACACGGAGAAAATAAAAAAGGAAAATGTACCTAAACTAAATATTAAAGCGATATTTACAGAGGTCGGCAACCTGCGGCTCGCGAGCCTCATGCGGCTCTTTAGTTCCATACGAAAATATTATTTAAAAATCGTTCTGAATTGATTAACGAGGATTAGACACTGGTTCTATCTCTCAGCCACTTGTACTCGCTTTTCACCTCATCCTAATAGTCTTCCAGATTGCTACAGTGAGGTGAAAAAGTTGGCATGTGGAGTACTGACTATCTTCGAATCGACATATTAGTGCGAGCAAGCCCTTGCATGAATATAATTAAAAGTAAAGTAAGAAGCCAATTACTAAATGAAAATTTAGAGTCGTGTTTGAAACTTAAAACAACAAGTTATGAGCTTATGAGACAAATTTATCCAAACTTTCTAAAACCATGCAAAGCCAACACTCCCATTGAATTTGTTTGCTCAAATGTATGTTATTATTCTTTTTTTATTCTAACTAGAAGTTACATTGTTTAGTAAAGTTTAAATTTTCTACTTGAATAACCATGCAAAGCCATGGCTCCCACTGAATTTGTTTGCTCAATTGTTTGTTATTGAAGTACAAGTTAGTGTTGTAAATAAATAGATATTTTTTCTTATGAATAAATAGATATTCTTTCTTATGAATAAATAGATTAGTTTTTTATCAAAAAAAATTATTTAAATGCGAGTACTATTTATTTTTGGCAAGAAAAAATTTTGTGGCTCTTTAAAAACTTTGAAATTTTGTAAATTGTAATTTTCGACTCTTCCGACTCAAAAGGTTGCCGA